CCTTAAAGCTCTCTGCTAGACCCTCTCCTCTTGGCGCTCTGTACTTTCTCCCCCAGCACTGTCATCTACTCCAGCCTGCCATTAACACCTTAGCACAAATGGCTCAGGAATGTATATCTCAAGCCAGTTCTGTCCTTGCCTGTTTGTCCATAACAGCTCAAACACAGCAAGTCCAAAAAATTAAAGCCTGTTCTTGTCTGTACCCGATTGCCTGACTCAAAAATGGGCCATCGCCCATCTAGATGCATAATTAGAAACAAAAGCTTCATCCTTGACCTTTCCTTCTCCCTTCTTTGTCATACCATCCCTGTGGCTCTCGTATCTCTTCGCTACTCTCTCTACCAACACACAGTATTTCAAACAGACGTCACCTCTCACCTACACTACCCCAATCACCTCCTAACTGGTTCCTCCTTCCACCCTGTGGCCAAACTGTCATGACATCTCTCCCATAAACCCCCACTTGCTTTAAAGATGATATCGGAACTCCCTAACACAGCCCACATATTCTCTGACCTGACCCCTCCTGTCTCTCTAAGCTCATCACGTGTCAGGCTCCTCCTCACTCTAGTTCCACACACCACGGTCCTCCTTCCACCCCTCACTCTCACCAAGTTCCTTTGTGTAACAAGCCTTTGCACATGCTGTTCCCTCTGCCCTTTCTCTTTTATCCCTTGGTTCATGTCTACTCATGTTTTCGGCCTCACAGCAAATGCCAGATACTCAGGACCCTGACGAGGCCAAAGCTCACTTGTACTTCTCCTTCCTGTAATACTTGTCCACATTCCACATTTGTATTTCACTCACTGAATATTTAATGGACAACCAATTCTCCCACTACTATAAGCTCCACAAAGGCCGGGATGAGCCTGATTTTAGCTGCACTGCATCCCCGCCGTCCAGCATGGTGCTGCCCTCAGAGAGAGCGTGGACTCTGCACCCGGACTGCCTGGGTTCAAATCTTACCTCTGCCACTTGTGGACTTGAGATCCTGAGCAGGTTACTTGATTTCTTTGAGCCTCTCATGCATCCAATGAGAAGAGGAATACCTGTAATACCTTCCTCAAAGGGCTGTTGCGAGGGCTACCTGAACCAATGTGAGCAAAGCGCTTAGAAGGGGCCCAGCTAGAAAGTAAACTAGGTTCTCAATAATGTAGGCTGTCATAACGATTATTACTCATTGAGTGGTAGATTAGCCTGCAAACAGAGTATCTCTAACCTTCTTTAGCACTCTTTTACTGTTTCTAGCCCGAGGCATCTTAATATCACCTTCTACAAGGGGCAATTTTCACAGACCGCACTGGAAAACTGAAACTAGAATTGTACAGTACCATTTTATTAATTCGACAGTCTTTACTGTCCCTACAGCTCCATGAGCTCCACGAGTGTTTTTTCGAATTCAATTTCATCAGCATGTATTTCATGTTGTTAGTTTAATATTAAAGAAGAATTAAAGAAACTTCACGTCAGAATTTGAAAATTTTGTGCTATGAAAGATCTCATGTGTGTGGAACACGACCTCTTCTCAATGACTACAAAACTGAGGCTAACGAAATTCAAATGGCAACAGTGAGGCACAGAGCCCAACCCAGACCTGAGTGCCTGACTCGGGCCCCTTTGCTCCACTGTGCTGGGTTGAAATGTTCGAGTTTGCAAAATTGTATTGTGCAATACAAAACTTCACATATTTTCTAGCATACACTGCAGATTAAATACTTTAGGCAAAATCATTTTAATGACAATTTCTACTTAAATTGTTTTACTTTAAGAAAATTTCAGACTTGAGGTCTTTAGAAGTAATCTATGCGACTTTAAGATAACTATGCAGAGAGGCTCAATATTAGGGAAATCACAGTGTTATCAGCAAACAAAATGTAAAATGAACACGTAGGTTCTTCACTTACAGCTTTATCTCCCAGAGCTGTTCTGATACTAAGTCTCACTTTAAAAGCATTTTCTGCATCTGCCAAAAAGAAAAAAGAGCAGTATATGATAAAATCTGCCAAAACAGAGCCTGAGAAATCCTAATATTTAATGCGTATCAAATCAACAGAACACAGAAGGGCAATTAAACATCCCCAAAAGACTTAGAAGTTTAACAGCAATCATCTCCCATGTTTAAAATTTTTCTTTCAAACTCATAAAACAGTCGCAGGCTCAACTTTCAAGTCGCAACATGTCTTGAAAAATAAAGAGGTCTTTCAGTCAAAGACTTGTCATTTAGAAAACTGTTAATCTAGTTTTAAGCTTCAAGGCTACATACCTGGTTGACAGAGTTCAGCATGAATAGCAGTCATGAGAAAAAAGAATAGCCACAACATTCTTTCAGAGTGGAAAACACAAGGCGAACTAAGAGAAAAATAATCCACCCTCCACCTAAGGCAGCCTTAGCCATTCTGTGACCAGGATTAGAATATGAGACACAAGCCAGCCACCAGCCAAAAGGCTTAATGATTAACCCCCATCACTTGGGTTAATACTTTGATAGAAGCAGCCCATCTCCTGTCAGTTATTTACGAAAATCTGTGTGGAAAACAGGTTTGTTGTCCTTTACAAACTACCTTAAAGGAACATTTCTCTGCTGTCTCCAAGGTGGAGGCCTCTCCCACCCCTCTCGTTTGTCCGGGAGAGCTCAGCTCAGGGTGGGGAGAACCCAGTCCTCTCTGGTGGTTTTCCTTGGCATGAACTTTCCGCCTTTTCACCTTTCCGGGCCCGAAGTATCTGGCTCACAGATAAGCTGGCTTAGTTAGGGCGTCCAATGTCACTCCTTGCTATCTCTGGCGACCAAAGGCCTTACCTGGCTGCCTCCCCAGGTAAACATCCCAGGAGCTTCCAACTGGAAGGGAGTGGTGTTGGTCAGCCCTGAGGAGTGGCAGTTGTGTAAAATCACAGTTAGCGATATGGAGCAGTACTGCCCAATGGGACATTCTGCGGTGATGGGAATGGCCTGTAGCTGCACTGCGCAGTGTGGTGACCAGTAGACATAGGTGGCTGTCGAGCCCTTGAAATGGGGGTAGTGCTGCTGTGAAGCTGGATTTTTGATTAATTTAAGTAGCCACATGAGGCTAGTGAGTACATGGGTCAGTGTCGCTACAGAAGTCATTAAGAGCTGCTGCCATGAACTAGGTTTGCTGGATTCGTTCTCTCATCCTCGAAACAGCACCTCGCGGCTGCTGGTGTTATAACTGTCATACATAGGAGGAAATCCAGGATCCAGTGTTTAAGGCACTGGGGCAATGCGGGGAGCGGAAGAGGTGTCACTTGACTCCTGTCTCCATCACACTGACCCACACCGTGTCTCGGGTCATCTCCGGTAAAAACTGAAACTGCCACGACACTTCAGAGCCGCTCTGGCGTGGCGATGCTGAGTGGAAACGGACCTTTTCCCTAGCGGGCATTCTGCAGGGGCTGGTAAGTGTCCCCCAGTGGTCCACGTCAGGGCTCTGCTCTCCACGGTGCTGCCTCTTCACTATTCAGTCCCCAGATCCCATCTCACTGCCTGAAAACCACGAATGGAAAAGTTAGGTTGGGGGACCCTGATGTTAAATAGGAAATTTGGATTTTTAAAGCAACAATGAGAAGAACGTCAACAGTGACACTTCCGCAACACTTCGAGAGTCATGTCATCTACCCCTCCGGGTTAGGGTGATGTCGTATCATGGGTGACCCACTTCTGTTCGCTAACTGCACCTGAGGAAACTTGTCCTCCGCTTTGTCTTGGCTGCAAGGGCACAAAGTCAGGAAAAGCTGTATTGGAGGGAGAGGCAGCCAGGAGTCAGTCCAGTCAGCCTAGAAATCTCACTGTTAGGTGAAGTGGACCTTCCCAGGAGGAAGAGCGCACATAACTAACCCCAGCAGATGGTCAGACTAGGTGAAGTCATCTTGGGAAATGTTCGACGAGACAAAGTCATCGTGGGAAGGAAAAGCCAACAGATGGAGACTGTATCAAAGCTGATTATTGGCACTGGGGAACAAGGCCACGTTAGAGACATCGAAATCCGTTTCAGCTTTCCCTTAGACTTTGTAAAACTATCAAATGCGGTATTTTTTTTAACTGCACTGAAATGAAAAGAGCTTAAAAAAAAAGTTCCTAGAAAAGTTCCCCAAGGAAAAGTTTTTTAAAAAGTATCTCTTTGCTTTTACTTAATCAGCTGCGACTAGGACTAAAGACAGTAAAATGCTGAATTGTAGTGGAAGCCATTCGTTTGAAAAGACAATCTCTTCCCTTTTGAATTATGATTGCTCAATGTTCGTTGTCTCAATTTAAAAATGATAGAACAGAGAGCAATAGAAGTTCCATACAGAAAATACAGACAAGCAAAAAGAACAAAATAGCCATAATTCCGCCTGCACGGAGAAACAACGTTAACATATTTTAATAGTTGAAACACACCCTCTTTAGCCTTGGATCTTCTCGTGTGTTCTTGTGTGATGTTGCTGTTGTTTTGTCTCAGTGCAGCAGCACTGTCAGAACAGGGTGACGTAATAGGAATAATGTGGACCTTGTCTTCTTCCTCACACTATTGGGAATGCCGCTTTTCTACAGAGTCTGGTCACTTTAAATTCTTTTTACCAATAACTGATGTTGAATTTTATGAACTGCCTTTTCAGCATGTCTCAATATGATACTAGAGTTTTTACCATTTGGCACAATATATTAATGAATTTCTCTACATCGATCCTTTAAACTCAGTCTGATGATTTAACATGCTTCTGGAATTAATTGCTCTTTCCCCTTAGGTTTCTAAACCTATTTTCATAGAAAATATCATGTAGGTTCCTTTTCAAGTGCTGATTCTTGAAGTTGATTTTCTCTTGCTTGTATTACCATCTTGAAAATGGTATAGAAGGATTTCTAACGCTGTCTATGTTTACAAATACTTTAAAATGCAGAAGAAATTAAAAATGCAGAGTTGAAGAATCTGAACCATACATGTTTCAGGGGAGAGCACTTTCAAAACTTTAATTTCCTATATTGTCATTTATTGCGAGTTTCACATTTCTTTCTGAGTCCATTTTGGCTATTTATAATTTCTAAGAAAATCATTCATCTCATTAAGATTTTCCAGTATTCTCATGGACTTTATACACTATTTCTCATAAACTGTCTACATGCATTGCTTACATCCTCTTTGTATTTTCTAGTGTGTATGTTTTTTGGTATGTTTTTTTTCTCATTTTCCATGATCTTGCCAGAGGTTTATCTACTTTTGTTGTTTTTTTTAATTAAAAAAAAAAAGCTCTTGGGTTTAATTTTCAATTCTTTTCTTTCTGCTTTGTAATTTGTCAATCTTATTTACATTTATTAAGTCCTTACTTCTGTTGTCCTTACAGTGCTTTTCTTGTTCTTTTTAAAACTCTTGAGCTGGCTAATAGGCTTATTTATTTTTAATCTTTTTCAGCTAATAATCCAAATTTCTGTGGATATGAATTTTCCTTGGAGTACTGTTCTGGCACATGACATAGGAAGTATAGATGTACAGTCATCTCATTCTTTTCTAATAATTTTTAATTAGTTTTACTTTTTCTATATTTCAGTATTTGCTTAGAAAGCTATCTGACACTCACAAAAGAAACAGCAGCCTCAAATGGAATAATTAAAAATACCAACTTTCAGAGGCTCTGTCAAGTGAATAGAAAATGTATAAAGTAAGACATTGACTTAAAATGAAGTCTCTTTCAAGGTATGGATCACTTCAAACATGCTAAAAATGATTTCATAAAGGGCTTAACAGCTCAATAAATAGGTGGAACACAGAACTAGATATGATTGTTCTTGCCTCTTAACATACTGTCTTTACCTTTTTATACTCTTCAAAATATTACGCAAACTTAGTCTTCGCACAATTTTAAGTATTAAACCTCCAGAGAATTCATATCAAACTTGCTTCATACGACGCTCATTTCAGCAATTTCACATAGAGGATCCTAATAACTATTAGTAACGGTGGTAATGGTTGACAAATAAAGCAGTTTCAATCATTCTGAATGTTACTATTGATTTCCAATGTTAAAAGTTTAGAGAACGTAAGTAAAAGTTGAGATTATTGTCGCCATGAGCAATAATAAAAGGCAGCTACTCTCCTGAGGCAAGAGAAAGACACTGATTTCTCCATGTTTTCTCGTGCTTCACAACACCATTGAAAAGCAGTTTCTTGGCACATAACTATTGACCTACTGCTCTGGAGGGTAAATTAAATATGAGATCACATGAAAAGAAAACATGTGGGTCTTTTTTTTTATTATTATCCATATGAGACTCTTTTTAAAGTTCATTAGGGCTATAAAAGCATGTGGGCACATGTATGCTCCATTTACCTCCAATATAACAAGAGGTAGGGAGAACCAATGTTGATTTTAAATTTTGACCCTGATTACTGTTTCATTGTTACAAACAGGTATTTCATAAACCTAAAACTAGTAAAATGGGAAACCATTTCAAAGGTAACTTTACATTTTTATTGGGTTTGGGGAAATGTATCTAGCTGCAACACATCAAAAGAAATCAAACCTTTAATAGCTGAACATGTAAATTTTTATAAGATAAAAACCTTATATTTTTTAAACAGCTCCACTCATTTTCTAGAAGTTGTAGAATTTTGAATGTCATCCTTCATCATTTAATATACTGTAAAATCAACAATGTCAAGATATTTATACTTGTTAGTCTAATACTTTTCCAGATAATTATGGAAAAATTATTTTACTCTCTGTAAACTGTCAGTAGTAAAATACATGGGAAGATAAAGTACTTTTGGTCTATCGTGAAAAATACTATATTTTAACTCAGTGGTTCTCAATGAGGGGTGGGGTAGGTTTTTCCTCCAGAAGACATTTTAGCAATGTCTGGAGACATTTTTTTTGTTGTCACAACTGGGGGAGGGGTGCTACTGGCATCTAGTGGGTAGACACTAGCGGTGCTGCTGAATATCCTACCAACTTTAGAAACATCATTTAGGCCTTTATCTGGTACCTTTTCCCTCTTGTATTTGGGTTAATGGAAATAACCCACAAAAGGAAGGGTAGGAGATAAAAGGGAACCAAATGTGTGTTTGTGTGTATGTAAAATCAAGCATAAGATTTTAATGTCATTTGTTCCATATTCTGAAATTACTGAAATAAACTCATTTATCTTTTAATTAAAATGCCTAATGATAAAGAATAATTGCCTGGTTGCTGGAATAAGTCCAACAGCCCTTGATTAATAAGTACAGGCACATCAAAAACTGTCACTGAATGACATTTCTACCTTCTATTGACCTTCTTCTCTTTGTTATTTACACTGAAGCCATTTCCACATTGAAATCTTCATTAGCACGCCAGTGCCTATGTCACAGATTCCAAACTCTCTGACCTGTAAGATCTGAACCTAATTTGGGCTTTTCAGATGTATGTACACTAATACTGTCTCCCCATCCTCCTCTGAGCCATTCTGCCAGCTAGTCTCTGCAAGTGGGCCATGTCCTACCTCTGTTCTTTGTGTGTTTGTTTTCACACTATTTCCTTAACTGCAATACTGTGAGCTTTCTCTCTTTTTCCTCTTTAATTGCCCCCGCCCCCACACTTCCACCCCTGACCTACGGATGTTGCCGTCTCCCCTTAAGTACTGGATCTCTGAAGGCGGGGCGTCTCCTCCCACACGCTCTCAGTGTGCACCTGGGGCCTGGCGCACCCAGGGTATGGTCCGTGGCTCCACCTAGGAGGTCACGAACCCAGGACCTTCTGCATGTAAAGCAGACGTGCTAACCACTACACTATGGAGCCACCCTCTTTTCTTCCTCTTTTTTTCTTTTTTTACCTTTAAACATCTTAGCCATTGTTACAGGTCTAGCTCAACTATCATCTCCTTTGAGAAATCTCTTCTTTTGCTTTTTTAATAGATTTTAATTTATTGTAGACTTGTACAATCTACCAACTTTTAATTCTCTCCTTCTCCTGTATTCTCATAGCACTGTGTTCACATTGATACATGCACCTATTGCTAACATGATTTACTTTTGTGTCCTACACATTTTAAGTTCCTGGAGGGCAGGGACTATATTTGGTTCAACTCAGCATTTCTCGTGGCTCGTGAATATTTGATAATTTAATAAAAATGAATTGACTTATATGAATTATAAACTGACATTCTAAGAAGCTTGAGACTGTGGAAATGAAGCATTATGAGGTACACTGCAATTTTACATTCCTAGACAGAGTAAAACAACTAGTATCTTTGATGAACAAGGAATCTGGGGCTTTGACATATTTTGTCTCCACTCCCATACCTTATGGCCTGTTTAAGATGAAAAAAAAAAAAAATTCTGAAGCTACAGTATTCAGAAGGCTCATCAAATTTTGTAGGTTAATCAAAAGCCATAACCATTGTGACCTTCGTCTCTTTTTTCACACAGTAGCATTTTTCTAGTTCAGAGAAAGTTAATCACTACTGTTTGGAAATAAAGATTAATTCAGACAAACTGAGTGAATGTAATCCTGCCAACCTAATATTTTTCAGGCAGGAATTTAAAGAACAGTTTCTTAAATGGAATGCATGTTTGTTCATCTCCATGTCTCATCTTGTGCATGAAGACCAAGACATTAAAATGAATCCCATGCAGGAAAAGCAAGACTTCATTGACATTTCTTCCCAGATTTTAAATTCTTTACAATGTTGTCTGACTGTTATATGAAGAGTTTTCTCATAGTTTTGGCAAGTCATGACTTTTTTCTAGGCTAAAATTATTGCAGCCATGCTCTATGGAGTAGCATTTTCCATCTTTAATCTTCTATTTGGCTGCCCGTTAGTGTCACCCAGTCACATTTAGCCTTGCCTATAGGTACTTCCTTTGCCGATCCCTATAAAGAGGTGGAGGGGCCACTGAGCTGTATATCTTTTAGGTTAGACGCTTTCATTTTCATAACAGAATCTTAAACTAACCTCACTCTGGTTGACATACAAAGTATATGAATTACTCAATATGTCAAAGTTTCTGCCCTTAAGTTTGTGCCAGCAACAATGACCTTGATCCTTCTGTTGTATGAAAATCATCAAAAGCTTGTAGTAAAAAATGTTTAAAAGACACACATGCAAGACCTCTATTACTACAAGTCAGAGATGCCAGATAGGTTGTCGCAGCCACTCATCCGTCCGCACTCGCTACAGGCATTATTACTCTACTACAGGACTCTTTCACAAAACTTCTAGTTATTCAGTCAGTTGACATGTGAGTTGAAACTTACTTGCCATCATGGGGATTTAAATGCTGCCGTAAATAAAGCCATACCATTGAGGGCCTGTGATCTCAAATGACCAGGCAAGTTTGGGCGGTTCATAGAATTGATTTAATGCTCCGTGCTTTGTGACTGTGACAACGGTTTACATTGAGGGAATCTATTTGAAACTTCTTATGACTTTGTTTCCTACTTTGGTCACATTATCATCATGATGAGGAATCAGGATTTCCCTTGGGACTAAAAGTCAAGAAAAACTGTAGGAGGGACCTGCAGGGCGTTACGCTAAGTGAAAAAAGTCAGAGAAAGACAAATACCACATGATGTCACTTATATGTGAAATCTTAAAAAACAAACTGACAAAAACAAAAAAAAAAACTAAACTCATAGATACAGACAGAGAGCAGCTTGGCGATTGCTAGAGGCAAGTGGTTGAGGGATGGGGGGAGTGGTGGTGGTGAAGTAAGTCAAAAGGTACAAACTTCCAGTTGTACAATAAATGTCATGGGGATGTAATGGACAGCATAACTATATTTAATAATACTGTATTTTATATTTGCAAGTTGTTGAGAGTAAATCTTAAAAGTTCTCATCACAAGGAAAAAACTATGTGTAGTGATGTATGTTAACTAGACTTATTGCAGCGATCATTTTGACAAATATACAAATATTGAATCATCATACTGTACACCTGAAACTGTTACATGTCATTCGTACCCCAATTAAAAAAAAAAAA